GCGCGTGACGTCATCGCATACCTGAGCGTGTTGACCCGCACGCCCTTCTTCGCCCACTCGACTCCCAAACTGGCCGCCATGTGCTTCACGGCTGCGACGGAGAAAAAAATAGAGTATTAGACCTGCTCCGCGCGAGACAACAACCGCCGGTACGCACCCGCCTTGGCCGCGTTGTACGGCGTTTGTGGTTGCGGGATGTTCACAATCTGTGCGGGGTAAGACGGAGTCCGCGAACAACAATCAGTCATCGCTTACGTTTGCGCTCATGCTGCCGACCAACACGATGCTTCCTCCGCCCTGGGGTATCATGTGCCGCGCCGCTTCTCGCGCCGTGAAAAATGCACCGTGCACGTTGATGTCGTACAGTCGCTTTATCCGGTCAAACGGATAACTGAGACACCATATCAGCATTGTAGACCGCCAAGCAGAAGCGGTCGACGCACTCAAAGGCAGAGTAGTTCTCGACGATACCTGCAAGCGTGACTGTCAGAGCGCGGGCAGTCGTACACGGCGCATACACGCACCCGCAGAAGCAACAACCGAGTCTACGCGGCCGTACTCGTCCATGACCCGCCGGAACGCCTGCTGGACGGACAACTCAGACGAAACATCGCACCCGATGCCAACAACGCTGTAGTCGCTCTCGGTCATGTCACTGTCAACTTCACACCTTATCAGCACGCCGTCGCACAGCACACAGCAGCGAGATCCTGACCGCATGCAGACTTGACGAGGTCCCTGGCAGCGTCTGCCGCCTCTTCTTCCTTGAGGTCGAGGATCGCGAGTTGCGTGCAGCCAGACTGCACAAACGCGCGGCAAAATTCAAAGCCGAGTCCGCGCGCAGCGCCGGTGACCATGCAGACCTGTGAAGAGAGAGAAAAAGCGCACGTGTACGAGTCAGCGAAGGACAGAGATCATGCGGAGTGCAGAATAGACCTTGTTGGACATGGAAAAGTCGGGGAGGGTCTTTACTGCGCTGGCCTTAGCGACGACGCCGGGGCTGATGTTGGACTGGAAGCGGGCGAAGACGACATGGCGGGGGGGACGCCGTGCGAGGGCGAGGGATCGTGCGAGGGCGGGGACAGGGCGAGAGGCGAGCTGCGAGCTCATTACAGACGACGGCGAGGAGAGAGGAGGGAGGAGGTGCTGGCAGCGCGGGGGAAATGGAATTTATTGGGCGACTCGCGTCTCCACCTGGGCTCGGGAGAGAGCGTCGGACCGATTGGGCGAGTCCGCGGGGTCTTTTCCTCTTCTTGACATAATCGCGGGCAGCCAATCCGCGTGCACGCTGCCCGCCACCTGACCTGCAGCCGAGCCGCCTCGCCCGTCGCCGGCCTCCTGTCTGGCCGAGCGCGGAATGCAATGCAGCATAGGGTGGTATATGGGTACGTACGCAGACATAGAGCGAGAGGTATGTAGGGGACATGTGTCGAACAACGAACGTGGGTATCCGAACCACAGCAACGACTAAAGTAACCGAATAAACATCTCTAATACTGTATCCCACTAATGAAGAATAGGCCAGCCCCGCCGCGGCCAGACCGCGTTGCCAGATCAATTATATGCTCGAATGAATCCGATCCGAATGTAAGCAGAAAATGAGTGGACGAGCCAGTGAACGCACGCGGATATCCACCCGCACCCGCCGCCCTCGCTCCCTCCGCCGCCGCCGCCACCGCCCAGCTCACAGACACGCAAACTTGGACTTTCGTCGCTGCAGCTCGTCCATCCGGCTGTCCAGTTGCGCCCGCGCCCGCTCCTTCGCCCGCCGCTCCTCGTCCAGCTTGTGCTCCAGCGACTCCTTCTCCTGCACGATCGACCGCCGCACGTTCACCACCTCCGTCTTCGCCTCCGTCAGTTCCGCACGCAGCCCCGCGATCTGTCCGGTTAGGTTGTCCCGTTCCCGCGCCAGCTCCGTCGCTTGCATCCGTGCCTTGCGTACTGTGGGGAAGACAATCGTGTGAGCGATCACGACCGACTCCATTACGTGCACTCCGAAATGCACCGCAAGCGAACAATGAAGCGCGTACTCACGATTTTTCTCCGACTCGCCTAGCGACGACTCGAGCGTCGAGACGAGGTCGATGTGCGCCTGCAGGTCGCTCTCACAGTGGGTCAGCTGCTTGTTTAGCGTCTTGATCATCACCTCCTGCTCTTCAAGCTGTTTCGCTTGCTGTGCAACCTGCGCGACCACCTTCGAGTCCGTGGCCGTAGTCGGTGTCAGCGGGCCATTTACGAATGAGGGTGCGAGCGATGTTGTTGGTGTAGAA